CAAGATCTTGTATTAAGAAATTTCAAGATCTTGAGTGAAGCCACTCAAGATATTGCAAGAGCAAGAATGACAAATTTTCTTTACATTTTGTTTTTATTTATGACAGTCGTAGCCACTGGATATACGACGATATAGAATCATACATTCTTCCTTAAACAATTATGGTCACGAAGCAAAAGAAATCGAACTTATTCTAAGTGTGAAAATATTCGCACTTATATTTACACTAGAATGTAAAACAAAACGATGATTCAAGAATTTCCAAGATCTTGGTATAAGAAGTCAAGAAATTTTAAGAGGTTCAAGATCTTGACTTCTTGAAATTTCTTGAATTCTTATATTTTCTTACCAAGATCTTGAATCAAGATCCTACTGAAAAAATTCAAGAAGTCAAGATCTTGGTTACAAGAAGTTTCACTAGGGCTGTTAAATAATGTTCGTCAATGAGACTGAATTCCACAGTAGGATAGCTCTCGAATTGCTTCCCATTGACGACAATATTGGTACTTCTACAGATTGAAGCGACTCAACAAAGGTTTAATCCACATTATTTTGGATTGAATTAGAAGATTTATCAACCTTGTCCAGGTAAAAGCGCAGTCTGGTTCATCTACCAGCGACAAGCGCTTTAAAACTTTGGAATCAAATTTGTTTTATTTTGTATGCCACAATTACTGGTGCTATTTAAAGAAATAATTCCCATTTATTATGCAAAATAGTTCATGTTTCCAGTTCATAGCGTATAACCGCTTTGTTTTCTCTTCGACCAATCATCGCTCATACGTCTTCACGCAAACGTCAAACTCACACCCCTTTTACTCTTACCCTTTTTCTCGGGTCAAGATAAGCTAGTGAGGAAGAAGTGTACTGAGAAATTTATCATTACGTTAACCTACAGTGTAATAGATTGAACTCGCCAATCAAAACCGATTATATATTTTTCGTTTTTGCGTTCATACTCTTCTGATACAGGAATCAGGACAGACGACATCCAAAATGGACGTATATATTCTTTTTCGCCGAAAATGATGAGAGACCAAAGAATACTGCAATGGTTATTTTTCCTCAGTAGGTCGATCAAATCCTCACTACCTTATCTTGACCTTTTTCTCGGGTCCACCCAAAAAGCTAGCTGCTGAAAGAAAAAATATTATCATCGGCGGCCATCTTTGGCAGGTAACTTCTTACAAGGGAGATTTGGGTACTCTGCAACTGAGACACAAGAGTTGACCTTGACGTAGACACGTGCATTGATACGTGCATTGACACGTGCATTGAAACGTGCTATTGTGCAAAAGTGCGGTGTACTAAGGTCTATTATTCAATAGTGAATGAAATGAAATTAGGTATATGATGTATCTCTATTGGCTATCTGAGGAATTATTCTCATATCACATGGTCAAATATTGTATATTTTCATGTCCATGGATACCGCGTAACAGGTAATTTTATCGTTTTATAAAACAATTGAAAAAGAACAATCTTTAACTGTACAAACCCATCTTTCACTTCCATTTTTATTCGTACGTTGGTGACGAAAGCGATTTTCTTGAACAATATGGCGGGAGCACTTCTTTGAGTTTCTTTTCTTACAAAATCTATTTCTTTTTGAAATATGCCTGATCATTTCTTATGCTGAGTCCCGTGGCAATGTTAGTTTTCAGAACGAAATGCAAGAACCGAGTAAAAACCAATACTAGAAGAAATAGTCTATTTTTGGTTATTTTCATTACATGCTCTGATGTTATTTGAGTACATGCTGCATCAGGGTGCCCAAATCCAGTTTTTCGTAAAAAATCAGGAGGAAAAACAGGAGATTTTTTTTCGAAATCAGAAGAAAAACACGAGAGTATCAGGCAATTTTTTCTTGGACAAGCAAAATAAAAAAATCGAAAAAACATTTTTTTGAAATATTTTTCGATGAAACAGTATTATCATTTGTTACAGGCTGCAGTGCGGATTGAGGAAAGAGATTTTAATCTTATGGGCAGGGGCTCAACTAACGGGAGGGTGTGAAAGGGTGCGCACCTCCCGAATAATTCAAAAAGCTGTTGTTATTTTATCCATTATTCCTCGCACAAAAACTTTTTTTATCAGATTAAATTGTCTATCGTTTGGTATAGTAAGGAATTTTTTTTCTGAAACGATAGTATTGTATGCAGTTTGTTTTATTAGGGATAAAAATCAAAAAACGGTCAAAATGACCGCTACGGGCGTTCTAGTGTTAAGAGCTGTTTTTTTTCTATCATTAAATGTTTCTAATCGTAATACGCCGATAGTAGCTAGGTTTACAAAATTCGATGCCGCCATTGGTGAGTACTAGTTTGGGAGGTCCGTATTGGGCAGCCCTTCAACTTTGAACTCTACCGAACCACGTTTTTCTATTCAGTTTTGACATAGAATAAGAAAAAATTAGTTTCAAAGTTATATACTAATGCAGAACGCGAAAATTTGAAGTATTTCGAATTCGAATGATTTTCGAGCTTTTACGGTATCGAGTTTTTTCGATTTTTCAACATGAAAATCAATCTTTGAAACGTTGTAAGATACATTTCCTTAATCAGTTTAAAAAACTCTATCGAACGATGTATAATAAATTGAAAAAAGAATATTTTGCTCAAATTTTGCATTACGCGCACCTTACTAACGTTTGTATGTGCTCATTTTCATTTCACAATATGAATGCGCTGCATCACAATGTTTTCTAGAACTGTCTGAATGCAACATTGAGGAAATAAGTGTGTGAGAACCACAAGATGTATAATAATATTATTGTGTTTATTTAAGAGGGAGCCACTGCAGGATACTTGAAAATTGCGCTGAATATAACATATCTGGGTAGATTCTTTCAGAGCCCACAGTATATATCTTCACATCATATCTTTTCTATAGAGGAAAAGTCTAAATTTAAGAAGAAAAAGTTTCAAATATTTTTGATCCAATGTACAATTTTATTCCAAATATTACCGAACTGTTTTTGTTTAATATATTTTAGTTTACTTTAGTAATATATTTTTATTGAGTTTGTTTCTTGTTTCTTATGTAATTTTCAAAAAATAGAAAAGAAAAAATGAACGTACAGAAGAAAAAGGTAATGCGTGCTTAGTCAATATGCTTTTCAATGTTTATCAATTTTTTTAAGCAAAAAAATTAACAAATCATAACAAAAAACAACATGATATTTAAAATATTATTTCTAAACAGTTGTGCGTAATCTTGTTTACAAGTAACGGTGAGTACTGTTTCGCATATAAAAATAATACATGTGTCATAGGAACAAATAAAATAAACATACTAGCAACACACATGTATATTAAAGAGAGAACAAGAGCGAACAAAACAAGTGATATTGTTCAACATTGTTGCCAATGTCATTTTTCTACTTAAACTAACTTTTACACAAATTTTCCAAAGCATCATTAACATTCCAATGCATTGTACTTAATGCAGCACGAGCTTTTTCCTAAAATCAAAAAGAGACTAATGATCAACTTTAAGTTCTATAATAATTTATTTACCTCACTAAATCCCATATCAGTTAATTGTTGAATAGCTGCATCACATTCTGGTTCTCGGGTGGGTCCTAAAATTTAACAAACGACAGCAGTATAAGAAATAACGTAGCTCATTTTAACTTACCTCTAGCATAAACATTAGCCCAGTGTCTAGCAGTTTTTTCAAATAATTTTCGATCTTTCTTGTATTGATTTGCAACTACTGCATCTTGTGGATCATCTAAAAGAAGAGACAGAAGAAAAATATGAATAATTGCGTGAAGAACAATTTTTATAAATACAAACTGACCGGGTTCAGGAGCAGCCAACAATGCTTGTAAACTTAACAATACCGTACGAAGGGTCATTGCAGCGGCCCTTTCAAATGAATGTCAGACAAAAATTACCCAGTTAAACATAAAATTTTTTCTGCAAATCCCTTACCATTGATCTTTCAATATATCCAAACAAATTGCTCCTGTTACACTGCTGATATTTGGATGCCAAATTTTTGTGATAAAACGTACCTTTGGTGGATTAAATGGATAAGTATCCGACACAAATATTTCTAAGTTATATTTGGCGCCAGCATAAGGTGTATCCGGTGGACCATCAATTTCGCCTTTTAAATTAAGTGCTTTGCCACTGTTTGTATATGCATTTGAATTCATTTGTATTTCGTCCAAACCATCAATTTTAATACCACATTGAGCAACCTGAAGAAAACGAGATTATCAAAAAGGTAAATTTAACTTAGTTCTGTGAATTATCCAATATGTTTAATGAACAAAGCAAATGCATGAAGAAATTGTGTATTGATCAAATAATATTTACCTCTTTACTATCAAGAACTTCTTTAAATTCTTTTATAATTCTGTTCATATGAATATTTGACATGATAATAGATGATAAGGATTAAAATATATTTTGTGAAGCTAAGAGCAAGAAGATTTTACGTTGTTGATAGTCTATCGCCTATTTTCTGATTAAAATAGTATATAATAATATAAATTGAGTAACAATTTTCTTGTTCTCTTATTGAGTATGGTGTTTCAATTCTTGTTAATAAATTGAAAGATGTTTTAAACACAGTATACCATTTTCATCAAAACTAAGTCTATAAAATTACATATATTGTAAACATTTCCTGGACGCTAGTCAGAGCTATAAAACATAAAATATTTGTCCGTCTGTTCACACGAAGAATTTAAAAATAGAATAATTATGGAGAGAAACGGTCTGCCTAGCTAAAATTTATGAACTCGAAGCATTTCCACGCGGGAAAATCGAATACAGGACTTCAAGGAGATTCTTATGGGGTTCCTAGAAACCCTTCCAGGTTTCTACTGATTATTTAGTTGGATCCGATGTGAAAAAATGAAGATTGACATCAACTGAGGATCTCCAAAAAACTTTTGGGTTTTGCGTACTGTTTTCGAAATCCTGACAGTGTGAAATGAAGAGTGGATATGTGTTTTGAAGCATAAGATTCGCTACTCGACATTTGACGACTGGCTTTGAGACGAGAAACGTGAGTCACGTGTAAGTGACTCACCACGTGAGTCACGTGTAAGTGACTCACCACGTGAGTCACGTGTAAGTGACTCACCACGTGAGTCACCACGTGTAATCTAGATGCGCTATATTACAGATATTTGCCTACGTTCGTTAACTGCTTGCAAAACAGACGATCATTGTAATTTAACGTCAGGAGGAATGAATCGACGACGAATATTAGTTGTGCTTTTATGCTGTTTTGAAAAAGTATACAAATGCATAAGAATGTTTTTTTATCATCACATGTTGTCACGAGTTGAGCACCTTTCTCCTTTTTATACAATTTTACAAAAACTAATTTATAAGAAGCTACTCGCATAGATATCAACAGAAACACATGACCATAGATGACTTTGAAAGACATGTATAAACATAATCGTTCACAGAAGATTCGAAACCAATATTGTGTCTGATGAGTAATTTGTATGAGCTGATAATATAAATTTTTAAACAGATTCTGTCTAAAATCTATTTGCTAGAGACACTAGAAATAACAGGAAAAAAAAGCAGTGGCATCTCTTGTCAAAAACAGTAATCACTGAGGTGTGACAATTCTACCTCACGTAAACAAACATTGAAAAATTCGTATTGCAAAAATGAATATTCTCTCTAAAACTGTGTTACTAATGTATGTAATTACTGCATTTTCGAATTTTCTTTATTACCACGAGGTTCAGCATAGCCGATAACATATGTTATCATCAATTTTCGAGATTCCTAAAGGTGTTCTGCGGCTATCCGAAAAATCGTCCTAGTATTCGAACAGTGTGATAGATATAGATCTTAGATTTGTAGTAATGTATGGGTGAAAGTTCAGTGGTTCGAAACCACCCTTGAGCAAAAAAAAAGTGTAATGAAAATCTTTTTTCCTGCAGCTTCATCAAAATGTTCGGACGAGGTACACCACCGGCAAGTGGTACGTTCTTGATTTCAGTTCATTATCTCATTAAGTCTCCTCTTTTGAATAGTGAAAACAGTAACTATCTAACAGAGAGTTATTGTTTTCAAATAGAGACTCTATTTATCTTCGTTTAGGTATACTATTAAAAAAGTTTGTATTAATCTTCGGAAAAAGATACTAGAAATTGATCGTTTTTAAGTGTGAAAACTAAAGACAAAGATAATAAATCAGTTTTTTTTCCGGTTTAATAAAACAGTATACTGATAATGAGCTACGCTCTGGATAAAAAAAACCATGCATATAAAGTCGAGCAGCAACAAAAAATTTAGAAGTTGTTTACACCCAAAAAAATCGAATGAAGTACAGAAAACACGAAGATAAAAATTTGTTTAAAGAGTACAGAACGACAAATTTGTTTTGTATTACCTATAATGGACTAATGATATGTTTAAAATCTGGTATAGTACTTTTTTTCGACTTTAAAAAAAATATCACTTTCAATATCTGACAGAATAACACAGAAAAAACGAAAAAGAAAACAAATTAATATATTGCAATAACAATCTGATAATGTTAATTTAACATACGTTATCAACGCGATGAGCTCATCGTTTGAACAAAAATAACATTTAATTTGATCCATTTTAAAATTATTCATTTTCTATTATTCTATTATTAGTATGGAAAAAATGTATATGGTAACGTTTGATAATCTTCTATTTGCAACTGATAAATTAAATCATTAAAAAAAATTAGTAAAACTACTCACTAACAAGATAAAGTAAAAATTCCTATAAGATCAAAAAGCATCTCATGTGCTGAAAACTTTTTTCTCCATCCCATTTTGTCATAAGTGTTATGTCAATAATTCCAAAACCTTGAAGGTATATAAAAGTTCAACGCTGTTCGGAAAACGGACAGCATCAACTTCCTCTCAAGCAACGGGAAAACATGGTTTTGGCAAAATACACGCAATATTTTAATAAGTCAAAATAATTTACTCATTATTCTTTTCGCGCCTTTTTGATACAATTAAATGGATTTATCGATATCATTTTGTTTTTTACATTTTGTACTAACGTTGAGTCTTATAAATATCATTTGACTATGGATTGTGACATAATTACTCGGATGATCTTAAAAGAACACTATAAAAGACAAGTATTAGTCAATGAACAACTAGAATGCGTTAGTGTAAAATAAGGAACCAATAAGTAATGGCGGTAGACTCGCAGTTAAGGCGTTCATTCTATAGCGTTTGTCTGTCGATAATCTGAACGTCTTCTCGATTCCTGAAAATTGATTGTCGTTAATCCTGAAAAATATAATATTTTTAGTATTTATTTTATCTGTACTAAAATCTTTTACTTTCTACTTAAACGCACACACACACACACACACACACGCTGATAGTAGAAAGAAACAGCGCGACAGCAGCACGCGATATTTTTAGAAAAATAAATTGAAAGCAAGAAAAATTTAAATAAACAAAAAACATTTTGTGTTTGTGCACGTCTGGAGACAGATAATGGCTAAAAAACGACATAAATTTTGTGAACAAGACAAAAAACCAAGTAAGCGCTCAAATGCAGCAAGATACTAAAAATGGTAGCCTCAAACACGTAAACGACACCGATCTATTTTCTTTTATGACAAAAATCATCAAGGAGTACAGTTACAAGATGTTATTAGGAAAAGAAAAATGAGGCATCGCCGAAGCCCTCCATTCGTATCCAGAAGCTGATATAATAATTGTCTCCGGACGGAAAAAAAGAGAAATTGAGCGGACGACAAAATCCAAATTGGATAGGAAACAATTAAGTAGGAACGATTATTTATAGAAGAAAAAAAACTTGCTAAAAAAAAGAGCCACTAAATCGTTCTCGTTTCTACAAAACATTAAATCTCATTTTTAGAAATTGGTTTATATCACCACAAACATCACAGCAAAAATCAAAAGGTAAAGAGTATCTAAAAATAGTACTAATTTTTGCGCAAAGAGACAAAAGATGCATAGATAACATGAGCAAACTGAAAGAAAAACATGGGAAAACTGTTTAAGAAAAAAGAAACATAAAGAATATTTTCATTGGTCAACACCTGCACGAAAAAACAAAAATGTAGATATCCGAGTACCTGAGAAGATGCAAAAACTAATATCATCCAAGTTTAGTTGCTATTTTATCCTGATATCTCTTCGTCTTTGTAGAACGTTTTCATCTTAAGCAGCGAGTAATCTGTTAACAAAATACGATAACCTTTCAACTGACTCTCAATTTCAGCTTGAAACCTTTGAATGTCTGTTATATAGGCACAACTTTCGATACAGTTTATTCAGAATAAAATAATAACTCTTTTGCCTTTTTTTTTTTTGAAGGGTCGATTAAGGGACTATGTTCGAGTTTGTTTTTATTCAAATTTTTGATTGTTCTTTAAAAAAAACTCACTACCCTATAGCACCAGAAAAGACACGGACAGTGAACATCCTATAAAACTAATAACATCTAATAAATTTTATGAGTTTGTCAAATCAGACCCAACAATTGCTTAGTAATAGTGAACAAAACTTCAGTAAATTCCTGAGCACATAGAAAAGAGGCGAACTAACCGGATGTGAAGAAAAACAAAATAAGAAATCACGCGGTGTTGTAAAGCAGTAGTAAGCCAAACAGAATGAGATTTATCAAAAAAAAAAGGAAATTAGTTATAAAGGAACAACGATATATTATCGTATGCATAGTGAGGTTAAAAAAAACAAACAAAACTGTTTCAAAATAGAAACAAAAAAAGAACACATATAATAGACAGGTGCTATGAAAGACTCTAACAAACGAAAAAACACACACATATCTATTTTTGTAGAGAGAATTAAAAAATAACCAAAACAAAAGTCACCGCGTAGCGCTAACTACTAAAAAATAAACACGTGAAAAAGAGCAACATGGCACGTCATTGCTAGAGTAATACAATAATTGCATATGAACATTTAATTAGATAAAGAAAGAAAATCAACTTGAGTGAAAAAAATACTTTGTATGGAGAAACAATGGTCAAAAAAACGAAAAAATTATTTAATTATCCAAATATAATATCAGTTTCTTGGCAATTGTAATAGAATAATACCTTTGTGAGGTTCACTAAAGCTAAAATGAAGAAAAACAAAACAAATATAATTGAAACTGATCAATCTACAAAGATATAATAACATTTACTGCTGCTAGTTTTCAACAATAAAATAATGTAAAGTATTTGGCTTCTTTTTACCTATAATTTTTTGATTTTAAATAATTGATGATTGTTGTTCTTATTTTTCCGTCACCACCACCATATGAGGAATTTTTACCCCAACCAGTTATAATTTCAAATTTATTTTTTTTGCTATTACTGTTATTATTCTCTTGGATTATTCTCTGTAATAAATGTAAAGCTTCATCACAATGGAGTCCATGTAAATCAAGCTGATGGGTTTGATAAAATTGTTGTCGACGATATTCAGATAACTTTTCATAAGCAATTTGATTTGAACGTTTCATTAGTTTTAAATGTTCACTTGCTTTATCAATATAAAAGGAAACAACACCAATCATACCTAAAAAGAAAAGTGTATCAAATCATTAATTAATCAGTAGAAGTTAAAAATTCTTGTGATTAGCGTGATAGGACATGATAAAGCGACTCTCAAGTCGGAAGTTCAACTTCACATTTTATATTGACTTTTTATGGAGAAAAAGAGTTTTTACGGTATTTGGCTACCTTTCCCCTTAAAATGTATCGTAAAAATTAATATTCAAAACTCTGACAAATGGTCAGAAATATCTAAACATGAACGTTCTTTCAGGAGATGCCTTCAAAAATTCTACAACTAAAACCGAATGAAGATGAGGAAATTTTCAAAATACTACTGTTAGAACCGGTAAATATCGAATACACTTTTTAGTTTTGATCACGACACACTCTTCTCATTATTTTGATGTTGTCAGTTGATAGAGCGTGGAAAGCTATATCTGTGTTAAAATTCTTAAGTGGTATGAGCCTATCACAAACTGATGCTTTTCACGATATTACGAACTTTCCGAAGTGCGGAAAATTTAACTCATGCGCTTTCCTCCGTTTTAGACACTCAAAATCTTATCCACAGAAATTCATTGACAGGCATAACCTTTGGGCTCAACATCGTCTAATTGCTATTTTTTCACCTACCATGTTTATTTGCTTCGTGTGCTTTTTTATACATTTGTTTTCGTATTTGTCCATGTTTCAATGCATCGGCTCTTAATTCTTGATAAGTTTCATTAACTGGTTGAATCAGTTGTCCTGTTATAGTTCCTGTGCTTATTGTTGTTGATGTATCGTCATGTGAATGAGGTAAAAGCGATGACCGAATCGGTTTACTTGATATGATAGATGGAGATTTTGTTATAGTTACATTTTCATATAACATTGAAGCGATGCAGGTCAACGTTAGATCATAATTCGACTCGTTTTCTCGAAATATTTCATAGATTAGATCAGGTGAAAATTGAGGAAATTGTTCTTCAAGACGTTTTAATTTTACTCCAGATGCATAATCTATTTCGTATGGGAGACGACGTTTCTAAAATAGAAAATAGCAATAACTGAGGTGAGAAAATGTTAAAAATTGACTACATACTCGTTCCATTTGTTGTTCCTGATGCTTTTTTTCAGCTCTTTGCTCTTCTGCTATTATCTGTTTAAGAGACGGTATATTAGTATTAATAGCTTTCATGTGTTCATCATATTCATTTTCAACTGTATTTTTATTATTCCATTGACTATTTTGCTGCTTTTGCTGTTTTTTCAGTAACTTTTTTGCATTTTTGGATGTGTTCTGTTGCACTTGTTCTTGACTGACATCTATCAGAGATGATACATTATTTGTATCTGATTTTAATATATGTCGTTGCATAGCTTGATATAATGTGATAGCTAAATCATCGTCAAATGGAAGCAAAATTCCGTCTTGATATCCATCTGTTCCCATTGTCAAATGATGAGTTGACAATGATTGATCTCTAGGTAATTTACCATATATTTCTTCCATGGTATTAACGATAGTTGATGGTATTAGTAGGTGTTTTGGATCGAGAAAATGAATATGTTCTTGCTCGCTGTTTGAGTTATTTGGAATGCTGCTCACAGTGAAATCATTCAGACAATCAACAAGTAGCTGATCATCATCATCATTGATATCCTAAAGTGAGCAAGATAAACAATTGATAGCACCGTAGCAACTATTATTTTTGTCGGATAGCAACTAGTATTATAGTCGATTTTATATCCGCTCAATTCGCTTACTTACTTCTAAAAGTTCACTAATTGAATTTGTATCAAAATTTGGATCATTTTCTTTGATTGATGAATCCCATTCATTTAACACGTCAAGACAACATTGTTTCAATGATACTAAGGAGCGTTGTCGTCTTTGTTGCTGTTGTCTGTTTGTAGTTTCTATACTAGAATCATAATTTGTTTCTCCAGTATTTGATTTCGGTGATTGCATCATCTGTGACTGTGGATGTAGATGTACTAAGTATTCATCTAATTGAGACTTAGTCCATTGTAAATCACAATTACATAATTCATAAAATTGTAAAATAAGCTCGGTGTTAATTTTAGATGAATATAATGAATTTAAATAAGATAGAGGATCATCATTTCCGTCTGATAAATCGACCTGAATACCACATTCATAAAGACCGGGTAAAAAGGTAACAGTTGCACAAGTATTATTTGACAAAGAGGCTATTGGTATCATAGAACCGATTAATATTGGATATTCAGAAGATAGATTTTGCAATGTATCAAGTATTTCGTCTTGTGAACATTGAATAGAAATATCTGCTAATAATTTTGTCGGTTTTGTCTGTTGTTGATCATATGTGTTCAATTCATTATGAATTATATTCACAAGTTCTTTTTTCACATTTGTTGATGGTAGTGGCGAAAATTTTTCACTAAACCAAAACAATAAAAACTTTGATTAGTACATTATTGTCATATACACTTGGCGTGAACGATGATAAATACATAGGCAAAAGATTTTGAATTAACTTACCCAATTTGTGTATTTACTTGTATTCCATGTTGTGAAAAGTTATTCAGCCAATTATTGCTCGTAGTTGTACTTTTGTTTTTATCTTCTACTGTCTCATTTTGATTTGATTCATCAACTACCAAACATTGATCTGCAAAATCTTCTTGAACGAATACATCATAGTGTTGTTGTTGTTCAGAGGACTGATTTGATTCGGCTTGTTGTGGTTGAACAACATTGTTATTATTGTTTATATTTTCATTAATTGCTACGACACTTTTTTTATTTCGATTTTTTTTCTTCGTTTTTAATGGCAATGGTTCACATCTTGGAAATGTTGCTGTTGGGAGCCTTAGAATATGTTCTCCATCTTGAATAGAGATTGTGGTAGACGTTGAAAAGCGAGATGATAATGAACGATGAAAACGATGATGAGGTGTGAGAGGAGTGCTTGTAAGAGATATTGGCGTTGTACTATTCAATGGATAATCATAACATGATATACTGCACATTTGAGGCGACGTTGGTTGAGATGGTGATGGGGCAGTTGAAGTTGGGGTTGTGGACGATGCAGTTGATGCTACAAGAATAAATTACAATAGTTAGCAGACAATTGCAAGAAACAACGAGAATCATTGTAATCATGACTGATCATAGATAGTAAACTAAGTTTCATAATCTTCCCTATTTTCTTTGGTAGGTTATTGATTTCACATCTTTGTCTTCTACTAGGTAAAGAACGGGCGCATATTAGAGGAAGAATCGGTCCACTCGGATTTTTTCATTTCCAATGACCAAATTTATTAGAAAAGCCACGTTTCTATTATTCCCTGTCATTCGCGACCGTACTCAGTTCCACTAGGTTTATCCACCTTTTCCTGGAAAAAAACATTGCCACAAGATTCAGAATGATCGCTAACCTGTTTCCCTTTACTTTAGAGGTTATCTGCGGTCACCTAATGGCAACAAGATGATGAATATTTTTTTCACCCTTTTTTTTACTTTTTTCGCCCAGAAATGACAAAGAATAATAGACGCGTGACTTTTCTAATAAATTCGGTCATTGGAAATGGAAAAATCCGAGTGGACCGATTCGCCCTCTAATGCGCCCCCGTTCTTTGACGAAGTTTTAATCTTCTAATTTTTACTAATTCTATTTATCCCTCCGCTTACCTAGAACAATTGTCTGATAAAAAGTTGATGTTATAAACAAAATCATATCGTCAATACACAATTTAACATCGTTTAAAATTGCTTCCTGGGTAGGTATTGTTTCAGTACTATTAGTAACTACCGTGTTCACAGTTGTCGTCGTTGATGAATAATTTCGTTGAATAAGCGTTCGTTGAGGTAATGGAATTTGTATTTCATGTGACTGAATAACTGTAGTACTCACAACTGATGAAACGCGTTCAAGTAACGATTTAACATTTACATTATGTTCGAAACGGATAAGCATATCTTTAATACGACGTAATGGAACATTGTGAGTATTACGTCTGTATAGAAAAAAACAAAATAGTGAAACACCAATATAACTGATTATCTATAGCCTTATCTTTTGATACTACTAAAAAAACGAAAATGCATGTCCAACGGGTGAAATCAGATAGTATGATAAAACACACAACTGTTGGAATCGTTGAAAATTCAATTTATGCAACTCTGATAAAGAACATGCGGACGTTTTAACAGTAAAACGAACACTATGTAAAGATGCAATTACACATATAGCATTTACTTTCGAGAGACTCTATCAATCTATTCCTTAAAATTATAGAAGTTTTTAAAATTATTATTATACTTGAATAGTTCTCTTGCTTTAAATTTCCATGGTGTATGGGGTTCAACGATTAATACATTGTAGCCAGCTTCTTTACCCTCAAAAAAAAGAAAATAAGATGGATTAAACTATTTCTATATTCTATCCACTGTCTTACCATTGCTGCGTACGGTCTCATTTCCCACGAAGTTGTGTTTGTATTATCAATAATAATTAGCTTTTTACTACTTTTCAAAGATTCTGAAGCTAAACATAATACAGCCGTTAAGCTCACATAAAACAAAGAGGAGAGACAAACCTCTTCTCCAATTAAATTTATGTGCCTCGTCTAATCTATTGGCGTCGAATGTATACTGATCATTCTGTTTAAAATAATCATCCGTCGACAAGATGACACCGTCAAAACCGTTCAACAGACGTCTGGAAACAAATAGAAAAGATTATTCAAAATAAAACTCATTAAAGTCGAAACACGTTTGACATTTTACTTACTTGGCTAGTGTCGATTTTCCCGAACCTGGGCAACCTCTCATAATGATCAATAATTTACCTCCGTTTTCTAGCATTTTTTTAACATTTTGAATAGTTTGACGATCATAATCAATAACTGTCATTTCTTCACTGATATCTTCTTGTTTGTTTTCTTCTTTTTCACCATTTTTTACAACTTCTAGCTGTTCTTGTTCATCTTCGGATGTTATATTTGACGAAGAACAGTGAGAAACAGACTTTTCTTCATCACTCAACTTTGTTGAGGTTTTGCTTACTACTACAATATTATTCAATTCAGCTGATAACAATGCAGATGGTTCTTTTTCTGTAGAAGATATCAATTGAAAAGTATCAACCGTTTCAGTACGTAAACTAAAATAAAAAACATACTTGAAGGTCTCTCATGATCATAATTATCTTACACACCACACCTTAGCTGTTGTGGTTGCTCATTGTCCATTTTCCAAAAATCTTCTATACCTGAACCGGTTCGATCAAATTTTTTCTTATTTTTTGATCGTACTTCAATCCAATCATTTGGCGGATGTTGTACTTGTACACCATTTTCTTTTTCATTTTTTTTGTTATTTAGTGATGTTGTATTCGATTGATGGCGGGTGTTGTTATTGTTGTTGTTGTTACTTGGATTAGCTGATCCGAACCATTGTCGTTGACGATCTCTCGGGGGTAAAGCCAAATGTTGTGGTTGTCGACGATAATTGTTATTATTATTATTCATCTTTGTTTTATTAAATGTCGATTGTCGAGTTGGATGTTGCTGATTGTCTTGAGAAGTTTGAGCAGCGATGATATCTGAGTAACTAATTGTGAATGAGGATTTTATATGATTTTCTGATTGAGAGTCTAGATTTTTATTTACAACTTTGACCAAAGTAGTAGATTCTTGACTCGATGAAGACGATGCAGATGGTAAGGGCAAATTAACTGGAGACGTACTGATCATAGTTGTTAATCCTTTTTCATGATCTAAAAGTACAAGTCATCATTAAATTAGGTAGTTTGGATAAAGTATGAATTACGTGTACTAAAAAGACATCTGCTTGTACCTGTCGTTGTACGAGTTTCGTTGTCTGTCTGGTTATTCTTTTCGTTACCAGTGTCAGTCTGAAGTTGCTCAACTGTTGATTTCAATTCTGGAAAAGTTTCTTGATTCACAGCTATATCAGTCGTAGTATTAGTCGGCAACTCATTTAGATTAGCTGTTGGCAAGGATGGTACCCATTCTGGTGCATCCGGATTCAGTAAACTTGCCGAATTAAACTGCGGTAACAGTGATGATGTCAGTGGTTGTGGTTGATACTGTAAATAATCCTCGGGACCAAATGCCCTTGTCGAACCGTTTATCGGCGGTGAACTAATATTGTAAGCAATATGTGTGGGAGGTTGACTCGGATGAAAGACAGGATGAAATGGAAACAGTAGTCCAGGTGGAGGCGGAGCCGACATCAACGGTTGTGGAGGATGGGGTAAAAAATTAATGAGCCTCGTTAATATACTACGTCGTTGTCTTCCTACGGCTGTTTGCTGCTGTTGCTCAGCTCTTATGTTATTTTCATCTTCATTGTATGATGTTTGTCGAAGTCGAGGTGGTAAATTCGTTGGTAATGCTGTACTTGAATCGGTACTTCGAGATGTTGGTGAGATAAACATAAGAGGTGGTGGAGGTGGAAGTTGTTCACGACTGGATTGACGTCTAAATATTAACTAATAATGAAGAATGCTGGAAAAACAACAAATATTTTACTAGCAGGATTAAAGCGGCATCATACGTTAATTAATCAAAACTCAAGCAATTCTTCAAGAAGAAAACTGCGCATCGTTTCGTCGAAAGAAAACTTATTTAACATCAATATCACCGACTAGATTCTCATTTGACTGAGAATAAGAGCAAAAGTCTGACAGATAGTTTCAAAATGGTTTTTTGGCTGAAACTGTCTACACGAAAAATTATCAAAGAAACTTTGGTATTAACACATTTTCCTTCACAGTCATCTCGTTTGTTTCCCGTGGAAGGCGGGTGCAAAAAACTCTGGTAGAAAAGCCCTGTGGTCAGCAACAGTGTCAAATAGCTTAAGTTGATTGTTAGCAAATCTATAGCTTCCTTATTGATTTAAAATCACAAAGAAAAACATATATTTCAGCACTTAATTTTAACATAGAGTAATCTGTCAAATATCGATACCTAAGGTTGATATCCAACGAGGCTGTCGGTAATGGTGGTGATTGATAATAAAAATAAGGATGCTGCTGTTGTTGAAAGTGTGTTTGATAATAGTTATTATAAGATGACGATCGTTGAAACAGTTTATTTGGCAGTTGTGTTGATTTTAATGTTTCTGATCGATTGATGTTATTGTTGGGTGGAGTTGAAGGTGATGTCTTGAGTGGCACGTCTGTTTTTGATTCTTGTTGCTGCTGCTTCTCATTAATAATAATGTCATACAAATATTCTTGAGGTAAATCATATTCAGAAATCACAGTAACACAGGATTCAGCATTTACATTCTCGGTCTTATCACTGTCATTCGTTGTTTCAACTAGTACACTTGAACTAAAACAAACAAAGCAAGCATATACATGTTGCATCAGACAAACACTCTCTGAACACTACAAAAGAAGTGTCCATTAGATCGACATGGATGGAAAAAACAGTGTCCACACAAGCCTCTACACTACAGTGTCTATATTTTAGAACAAACTGTTGATATTAAATAAATATCAATTGCTACTTTACCTGTTCACATTTTGATCTGTCTCATGTTGATAATCATTATCGTTATCAATTTCATTTTGACTGTTAGTGGGACTTTTAGCGTTGATATCACCCGAAATAGAAATCTTATTATCATTAAATGGCGTTTGACTATCGTTATCCGAAGTAACTTGCTCTTGTTTTGTAGTATTTTCATTATTAAGAGTTATACTGTTATCACTATTATATTGAATATTTTCAATTTGTATACATGGACTAAAACAAAACGAAAAAGTCGAATAAATTAGCAAATATAAGAACCAATTGACTTAAATTCATTTCAGATATATTGTACTGTAACTTACGCTTTTCTCACTGTCGTTTCTTCATCTAGTTGCTTATGGTTATTTTCCAGATTTTCAAATGAGCATTCTTTTGACGGTGTCAATAACGACGGTAATGGTAGAGTTAAATCCTCAATTGTCGAAGGTACAACAAGTACTAATGCTGAAAGACAGCTAGAGTCATCGTTTTCTTGTAGTAATTGTTGGTCTAACTCGTTTGTACTACTCATTTACATACGAGGAAGAGAAGATAAATAAAAATAAAAGATAGATATAGATAAATAAGTTTAAAATCAATTAAACGACGACATTTTAATAGAAGAGCATTTTGATCATACTGTAATACAATAATCGACTGACTAGAGAGATAGAAAAACAAAACAACAAACGAGTTCAAACATAATTCTAAAAAGAAAAGATAAATACAAAAATGGCAGTACACCAATCGACTTCATCACCTAAAAAATTTGAAAAGTACTGCATAAAATACGTGTATTTCAAACTCGATCAAGTTTTAGTGTCTTTGTTATGTCAGTCACGCCTACAATGATCGAATAATCTTTGTATGCATCTGACTTAATCAATAAGAAACAGAAATCAATTTAAAGTGTTACTGCCGAAAAAAGAGGAAACTGTATATAACTCCGACAACGACAAAAATATAAAAATAACATATAGAACTACAAATAAACAGAAAACAACAAAAAA